TATTTATAGTTTGTTTGTGGTATATCTCTTTTAATAATTTATTTAGTGGTTTCTCTGTGCATTACAATATACATACATAATTTAGCACAGTCTATGGTATCAACATTTTACCACTTTGAGTCAAGTGTAAAAATCTTATTTACATTTATGTCTTTTTATTGTCTTCATTTTTTAAAATGAATTGTCTGAGCTATTTCTTCTACTTACACTGAGAGTCACATTAGATGGTATTATATATTTGTTTCAACCATCAATTGCAATCTTTAAAAGCTGTGAGGAGGATGATCTAATATGTATCCTTGTATTTTACCCATTCTTTCCCTTTTCCTGTTCTTCCCTTTGGAGGTGTCAAACCTTTTCCTACATCATTGCCATTCTATTTGAAGATTTCCTTTAGCCATTCGTCAAAGGTAAGTTCACGAGCAATCATCTCTATTAGTTTTCCTTCATCTGAGAACCTCTATTTTCCAATCATTGTTAAAGGATGCACTAGAAATAGAATTCATGGTTGACAATTTCTTTCAGCACACAAAACGTATTGTGCCACTTCTAGCTGATCTCTGTGCTTTCAGATGAAAAATCTGCTGACATTCCAAATAGATATTACTTTATAAGTAATTTCTCCTTTCCCTCTGACTCTTTTCAAGACTTTTCCTTTTTCTTTAGATTTTTAATTTTCTTTATCTCTAAATTTTTCAGATTTTTGCCTACGTGTCTTGATATGGATTTCTTCGAATTTACCATGTTTGGGATTTGCTCAGCTTCTTGGATCTGTAGGGTCTTTCGTCAAATTTGAGAAATTTTCAGCTACCATTATTTTTTTGAGGTTTTTTTTTTTTTTTGGCTAAACACTCTTTCTGGGACTTCAATGATGAGTATTATGTGTTTTTTTGTATGTGTCTTTTTTATTGACTCACACATACCTGAGGCTCTGTTTATTTGTCGTTTTATTGTTGTTGATGTTTGTTTTTCAGATTGGGCAATTTCTATTGTTCTATCATTTAGTTGAGTGATTCTTTCTTTTGTCATATTTATTACACTATTGAACCAATGTGGTGAGGTTTAAAAAGGATATTTGGCATTTTGAAATTATATAATTTTCCATCTGAGTCTTTTATATATCTTCTGTCTTGTGAGATTTTTTTAAAGTTTTGTTTGTAAGCACTCATTAAAGCATTTTTGTGGTGGCTGCTTTAAAATCTTATTGAATAATTCCAACACTGGTGTCATCTCAATGATTTTAGGTTTAAGTTTCTTGCATAAACTGTTTAGGTTTATTAGATAGATTCTGGCCCATTTTGTGGGCTATCATTCTTGACAGTTTCTTCTAACCACTAATAGTTGAAATGATCGACATCAGTCAGTTCAGTCACTCAGTTGTGTCTGACTCTTTGCAACCCCAATGGACTGAAGCACACCACACTTCCAGAGCTTACTCAAACTCATGTCCATTGAGTCGGTGATGCCATCCAACCATCTCATCCTCGGTCGTCTCCTTCTCCTCCTTCAATCTTTCCCAGCATCAAGGTCTTTTCCAGTGAGTCAGCTCTTCTCATCAAGTGGCCAAAGTATTGGAGTTTCAGCATCAGTCCTTCTGATGAATATTCAAGACTGATTTCCTTTAGGATGGACTGGTTGGATCTCTTTGCAGTCCAAGGGACTCTCAAGAGTCTTCTCCAACACCACAGTTCAAAAGCATCAATTCTTGGACACTCAACTTTCTTTATAATCCAACTCTCATATCCATACAAGACTACTGGAGAAAACATAGCTTTGACTAGATGGATATTTTTTGGCAGAGTAATGTCTCTGCTTTTTAATATGCTGTCTAGGTTGGTCATAGCTTTGCTTCCAAGGAGCAAGCATCTTTTAATTTCATGGCTGCAGTCACCATCTGCAGTGATTTTGGAGCGCCCGCCAAAAAAGCCTGTCACTGTTTCCATTGTCTTCCCATATATTTGCCATGAAATGATGGGACTGGATGCTATGATCTTCATTTTTTGAATGCTGAGTGTTAAGGCAACTGTTTCACTCTTCTCTTTCACTTTCATCAAGAGGTTCTTTAGTTTTTCTTCGCTTTCTGCCATAAGGGTGGTGTCATCTGCATATCTGAGGTTATTGATATTTCTCCCATCAATCTTGACTCCAGCTTGAGCTTCATCCAGTCTGGCATTTTGCATGATGTACTCTGCATATAAGTTAAATAAACAGGGTGACAATATACAGCCTTGATGTACTCCTTTCCCAATTTGGAACCAGTCCATTGTGCCATGTCTGCTTCTAACTGTTGTTTCTTGACCTATATACAGATTTCTCAGGAGGCAAGTAAAGTGTTCTTGTATTTCCATCTCTTTAAGAATTTTCCACAGTTTGTTGTGATCCACACAATTAAAGGCTTTAGCATGGTCAATGAAGCAGAAGTAGATGATTTTCTGGAACTCTCTCACTTTTTTGATGATCCAGCAGATGTTGGTAATTTGATTTCTGGTTCTTCTGCTCTCTAAATCCAGCTTGAACACCTGGAAGTTCTCAGTTCACATACTGGTGAAGCCTAGCTTGGAGAATTTTGAACATTACTTTGCTAGTATGTGAGATGAGTGCAATTGTGTGGTAGTTTGAGCATTCTTTGGCATTGCTTTTCTTTGGGATTGAAATGAAAACGGGCCTTTTCCAGTCCTGTGACCACCTGTGATCACCAAATTTGCTGGCATATTGAGTGCAGCACTTTAAAAGCATCATCTTTTAGGATTTGAAATAGCTGAACTGGAATTCCATCACCTCCACTAGCTTTGTTCGTAATGATCTTCCTAAGGCCCACTTAAGTTGGCTCTATGTGAGTGATCATGCCATCATGGTTATCTGGGTCGTTAAGATCTTTTTTGTATAGTTCTATGTATTTTTTGCCACCTGTTCTTAATATCTTTTGCTTCTGTTAATGATCAACATAGGGGTAAAGAATTTATCATGTCCTTTGCTTTGTACAGAGCAAGTTAGACAAAACCTACAGATTTAAAGTTCCCAGTTCTAAAATTCTTTGCCTTTATGCCAGTTATAGCTCTGAATTTAAAAGCATTCTGCATTCTGGACCTGAACTACTCCCAGCTCCCTGTCATGTCTGTTTTTCCTCTTGTTATCCTTTTTTATATGCCTTACACCGTGTTCCTATCATGTAGTTGAAAATATCTGTATCTTCCATGCTGGCCCTCACCCCTATCTCTAGCATCTATGATATGTGTATCTCTGAAACATAGCTTATCTTTCTATTCCCATCACATGTTAAGTTTTGTCATATTTTGTGCTGTCTATGAGACTGTATTTGCCACCCACCATCTTCTATTAAGCGTGAGGCTTCCCCCCACGCTTATTCATTCTCACTATCACGACTATATGGTACCTGAGGTTTTAAGTTGCATTCCTGATGGCCTCCCAACACTTTTCAACTGGGAGTGTTCAACTCTGCACACACTTGGCACCCAGACGACTCATTCATCCATTCAACTAGCCAGTCGCTATTTTCCCAGCATTTCATATTGATGCTGGAATGCAGCCTTAGGAACTTCCAGACCATATAGAGGAGAGTGAGACATAGAAATAGTTCAAGGTGCTCAGGGTCACAGCAGATAAAAGCACAATTCTGTGGGGAAGCAGCGCAAGGTCCCACCCATCCCAGGGGAGCCTGAGGGTCTATCTTGGCACAGGGAAGTCTCTGCTCTGCTCCCAAAGGATGAGTAAGAAGTAGTTATGCATAAAGAAGGACGGAATATTCCTTCCTTGGGTATTCAGAGGAGATGCTGTCTGAAGTCAGAAGCGTGTAACCCCCGTGGTCTGGCCTGACCATTGGTCAGTTATCAGGGGTGGCGGTGAGGTACAGAGGCATGGCCACAGGAGAGCTGGCTGGAGACCAGGCTACATGGACCCACAGGGGAGTTGTTTGTCCCGAGGGCAGTGAGCATAAAGGCTGAAAACCAGGGAGCGACTGGGGCTGGACGTGTGCTGGAGAACTCACTCAGGCCGCTCTGTGGGCCTGGACTTCAGGGGTGCATGCAGGTAGGGAGAACACGCTGTGGTAGACCGAGAGTAGCCGTGTGTCTTCAAGCAATATGAAGCAACTAATAAAGAGAACAGTTACATCTCTGTCTACTGAGAAAACTAGAAGGAAACCCATGGGAAAATCCTTCATTGCAGAAGGAACATGTGCTTTAGTTGATTACATACTACTAAAGCACATGTGATGAGCACAACGTGATAAGCACATACAGTAGTATGTATTTGTAATATGATATCATTAGTGTAAAACGAAAAGGAGAAACACTCCATCTAGGAGGATATGAGTTTGTTAGGATGGGGGAATGGGAGGAAGGCCACATCCCAGAAAGCTAATGAAGCTTACCTCAGCAGGCTAGGACCTCAGGGGATTAATTATGAGATTATTAATCCTTGAAATGCTCTCCATATTGTTTGATACATTATATTATGCATGTTTTACTTTCATAATTTAAAAGTCTAAAAAAAAAGAAAGCAAAGGCCTGGGCAAAATTTGCAGATCTTGTCTTATAACCTAATAGGTTTTTCACCTGTTCCAAACCTCATTCACTGCTTATAAAATGGGAACAATCATTTTCCTCCAAAACTCTTGAAATTGAAATATGTTAATTCATCGGTTAATCGGATGTACATCTACTGAGCACCCCCTGTAGCAGGTGGAACACGGGGGCTTCTACAGTGAGCAAGGTTGACGTAATATCTGGTTTAAGGACTGTGCTCTTTCAGCAAAGAATATATGCAGAGGCGTTTTTCACCCAGCCACACAAGCGAGTGGCTTCTTGCCTTGTGGAAGGAGGGTCAAGGGGAGGATTTGGCTGTCACTGGTCTTTGTGTCCTTCCCCGCATGGAACCTCAGGGAGAGCCCCTTGCTCACCCAGTGGGCATCTGGGCCCAGGCTAGGGACCTCTGCTCTCCACCCTCTCTAGCAGCTGCTTTCTGCCTGTGTTCCACTTCAGGTCCAAAGCCCAAAAGGAGAAATGGAAAGAACTGCATCATGGTCCTAGTGGTCACGTACCTGGTTCTGCTCACTGTGGGCGCTGGGCTATTGGTGATACAAGGTAAAGCACCTGAGTCCTGCCTGGTCCTTCCTTGGGTAACAACAAGGACCCACCAGATACAGGACCCAGGGTCAGGGGAGAGCCCCGGGGCCACTGCTGCCCATCTGCTGGGAGAGAGCTCCCGGGCCCTGGGCGGCCAGGGTGGTGCGGGGAGGGGAGGGGAAAGCAGAAAGGAGAGTGTGTGTTACGTGTTACATGTGTGTGTGTGTGTGTGCATGAGGGGGGTGGGGGAGAGGGAGGCAAAGAGAAATAGACCACACATGTGTGTGTCTGAAGCAGTCAAAGAGGCAGTGATTTCACACAGGTATGCCTTGTGCATCTCCCATCAAGAATTTCCTGTCTCTGGGTGGAAGGAGCTTTTTTTTTATTAATTTATTTATTTTAATTGGAGGCTAATTACTTTACAATATTGTAATGGTTTTGCCATACATTCACATGAATCAGCCATGGGTGTACATGTGTGCCCCATCCTGAACCCCCCTCCCACCTTCCTCCCCATCCCATCCCTCTGGGTCTTCCCAGTGCACCAGCCCTGAGCACTTGTCTCATGCATCCAACCTGGACTGGCAATCTGTTTCACACTTGATAATATACATGTTTCAATGCTATTCTCTCAAATCCTCCCACCCTCATCTTCTCCCACAGAGTCCAAAAGACTGTTCTATACATCTGTGTCTCTTTTGCTGTCTCACATATAGGGTCATCATTACCATCTTTCTAAATTCCATATATATGTGTTATTATACTGTATTGGTATTTTTCTTTCTGGCTTACTTCACTCTGTATAATAGGCTCCAGTTTCATCCACATCATTAGAACTGATTCAAATGTGTTCTTTTTAATGGCTGAGTAATATTCCATTGTGTATATATACCAAAGCTTTCCTATCCATTCATCTGCTGATGGGCATCTAGGCTGCTTCCATGTCCTGGCTATTATAAACAGTGCTGCGATGAACATTGGGGTGCACATGTCTCTTTCTATTCTGGTTTAGGAAGGAGCTTTGTTGATCAGTGTTTCATTTCAACATGATTTGGCTTTCAAAGTGCTCCCAGTCCAAATGGTTAGGTCAGGAAGTAATTCCCTCATACAGACAGTGAAGTTGCTCAAGCGTGTCTTATGTCCAGTTGTTATAAACACACATCACACACATGTTAATGCCTCACATGATTAGGCCGGGTCAGCATATTAGTGGCCATGCACTCACGCTCAAGCATGCACAAAGTTCTTAAATGCATGCAGGCTGATCACGGATGCAGTGGGTGCACAGACTGTGCCATTGTGTTCCATGGACGTGTAACATCTGTGAGTGTGAAGTGCCCGTGTGCAAGATACAGACAAAGCTCTGTGCTCACACTAGGTCCCCATAGTACACAAAACATGCGTTTACACAGTCAGAACTTACAGAGTTGTGCACATATGACACAGAATGTCAGGGTTATGTTCAAATGCCTTGGGCTTTAACGAAGTCCCTAAAAGAATGCTGAAGGGTTGGGTGTGGGGTGTCCAGTTCTAAACCTGCAGGAGCGGCTCCAGATCCTGGAGATGCCCCACAACAATGAAACGCAGGCCCAGATCACCCAAGTCCTCACCAAGCAGGAGAGACTACAACAACGGATGGACAGCTTTATTCAGATCCCAGGTTGGTCCCTCCCCGCTGAGCTCGACTCTCCAGAGAGAATGGGAATGGGGGAGCTGCTTGTGTGTGGACAAGAGGGTCTTTAGACCTGAATTCCCTTCTTTGGCAGAGGGGCTTCCCAGACCCTGGCCTGGCATGAGACCCTGGAGGCCAAGAGAGGGGGTGAAGGCCGAATGAGGAGGGTGTGAAATTACAGGCACCCTGGGTGACTGCAGACAGATCTGGTGAGAGTGGGGTCAGGAAGCTAGGAGCCAAGGAGCTTATCCAAATGATTATGACATCCAAGAGCCAAGGTCTTCAGTAACCAGCCAAAGGTCAGGTCTGAGTCCCAAAGCCCTCAGACCAGCCCAGAATGCTCAGGAGGGCAGGTAAAATGCAGAGCCCGGGGCGATTCCCAGGACCACTTCCAAGTGGCAAACTATACTGGTCTGTGGCTGGAGAGAGGAATGGTGGGCATCAAGCCCGTCTGGCCAAAGCAGGGACCATGAAGGGGAGAGGACATTGGACCTGCCCTTGCAGAAGAGACCCCAGAAAGCACCCTGGCTCCTCCCACACGTGGGGACGCAGAGAGGTGGCAGACTGCCACACAGAAGGCTTTCCCCTGCACTCAACCCTGCAGGCCCCTTGTCCTCGGCTTTCCGCCTCCAAAACTGTAAGAAGTGAATTTCTTTGGCTAAGCCCCACCTCCCCAGTCCATAATGCATTGCTATAGTGGCCAGAATGGACTAAGACAGGACGAGGAGCCCTGTCACGTCCACCCAAGTCTTTGGGAGGCTGTCATCCCCAAAGAAGTCCTGGAAAGGGAGAGATCTGATATGGGTAGCAGCAGCGATGGGTGCCATGTATCACAGCCTGGGCACACTTTCTATGTGGGTTTCCATGTGGCAGCCTCAGAACTGCCCTGCTTAACTAGTATATGAACCCTAGTTCACTGATGAGAAAGCTGATGCTCCAAACGATGAAAGGGCAGGCCCAGGGTCACTCAGCTAAAGGGGCAGTGCTGCTGTTCAAACCCAGGTCTGTCCGGCTCCACCTCCCTCTGGAGTCATCATCTACACAACTGAATTTTGCCTGCGGGCCCATCAGCTTCTTGTGGGAAGGCACTCCGTCTTTTCTTCCTTCCACACCGTTTGGCTGATCCGTGTGCCCAAGGACACTTGTTGAATGAATGATGGTGTGAGTGGCACCTTGTTCATTGGGGCATAGTGTCTCTGCTCCTTCTCTTTAGGTCTTTCAGGTCCAAAGGGGCCCAGGGTGGACCTCGCCTCCCCCACCTGCCAGGACCACTCTCAGAGAAGTCATAGAAACCGCCTTTGTCTACTGGCCCCATAATCCTTTTTTTTACTCCTTGTCCAGGCTACATTCTGAATTCCTTTTCCTTTCCAGGACCCCCAGGACCCCGAGGCCCACCAGGAATCAAGGGAGAGGCAGGTGAGCAGGGGCTGGGTGTGTGTGCCGGCCAGGTAGCAGCCTGTCTCGGAGCAGCTGCAAACACACGGCCCCACCCCGAGAGTCTGAACTCCAAGTGGGGTCTGTGTGTGAGGAAGGTCACCTGGGGTGAGACCCTACGTGTCCTGGGATGCTGGGAAGTACCTGCTTCATGGAGGAGACACCTAGGTGAGGATGGAAGGGTGAGGACACTCCAAGACCCTCCTTGGTGCTCAGAGTACAAGCCTATGAGCATCCCTGGAGACAGTCAAGCTCATTGGTCCAGACTCCAGAGCCTGACACAACTGCCTTCACCATAGATTGGTTGCACGACCTGGGGAGCACTCCTTTACCTCTCTGAGTCTCAGTTTCTTTGTCTGTAAAATGGGGATAAGAATGCTTCAGAGGATTACTAGGGTCTGTAAAATGGGGATAAGAATGCTTCAGAGGCTTACTGGGAAGTTAAAATTACAATTCAAAGCCCATGATTGGCTCTCTTTTTTAGGCTGTGGCCTTAATATGCCCAGGTGCCTTACCAGTGGCCACGGCAAGGCTGGGTCAGAGAATGTGGGGGCTCGGCTGGCTCCTGGGGGAGAGGGGCTTCATCACTGTTACAATCCATTCTGCCCTTCACTTAGATTCTCAAACCTCCAATCCCCAGAGGGGTGGAGGCTGCTGAGTTGTAAAAATGCCAAGAAAGCTGTTACTAAAGAAAGAGCAGAATGAGAGGATTTGCAAGAAAGGGGGAAATAGACTGAGAGCCTCTAAGTCTCCAGGACACTGAGACAGAAAGAAAAACACCACTATTTGCAGAAGGGAAACTTGTTAGGAGGGAAAACTCTTTTTTTTTTTCCAGGAACTAATTTTTAGAAAGATTTTAATAGAAGGGGAAATCCCAGAGGGCCTAGTGTTCTAAGTCTCCAGCAGGATTTCTCTGGGGAAGGTTTTCAGAATGGAGGATGGGCAAGCAGTCAGAGGAGAATTCAGGCACACAGTCACACATGCACGGTTGCACTAGGCACCTGCTCACACGTACACATACACTCACACGCATACACACCCACACACGCACTCGCATGCACTCACCACCCCTCCACAAACTCATACACACTCTCTCACTCAGCCTTCAGGGCCATGGAGGGGCAAGGCCACCCAGAGGGTGGTGGGTCGCCAGGCATCCCAGGGGCACAGCTGTGGTCCCTTCTGTCCAGGTGAGCAAAGGACAGGATGGGAAATCTGAGAAGAGAGTGAGAGGGGGAAGGACCCCCCGCCATGTACAACTGGTGGCAAGGGCACACACAGGCAGTGCTGGGAACTCAGAGGAGAAAAAGGTGGGGGACCCGAGTGGGGCCTGAGGTGGGCCTGAGTCAGGAGGGGAGACCGCTGGTGGTGAGGACAAAGGGGCTGATAAGGCATCTAGATCTTCCCTTGATGGCCCGCACTTGGTCTAGAGCAGTGCTTCTCAAGCTAATGGCCACGAATAAGAACCATTCGAGATGCTTTAGAGGCTGTGGAGGATTCAGACCCTGGAGGTGTGGGGGACAGGCTTTGAGAAGCACAGCCCACTGCTCTGGCCCTGACTGAGCAGCTCATGCTCCTGGTCTCCGGCCTCCCCAGAGACCACCCTGGGGGTGGCTCTGGGTGCAGTAGATGGATGGAGCTGAGGAGCCAGCAGACCTGATTGCCACTCCTGCTCCGTGCCTACTCACCTGTGTAACTGGACACATCACTTGGCTTGCTGAGATGTAACTTCATTTCAGCAACGAATGGCAATTACACTAAAATAATGCTAATTAAATTATATGTGCTTTGCAGGACAGCTGTAAGGGCTGGAGAGCATTGTTTTCAAACTCTGCTACATGTAGGTGGCGTGAGTGATCCGATAACACAGAAAGGGATTTCAGTTCCTAGGTCAGACAGATCTGGGTTCGAACGTGGCTCACCAGCTGGGTAAGCTCTCTGAACCTCAATTAACTCACCTATGAAAGGGGGATAGTACTAGTAACCTTCAGTGAGGACTGATTACAGCATAAATATAAGACAGAAGATGTGTGATGCTGTAGCTGGCATGTGGGAATTATCTACATCAGAAGAAACTGAGGGTGCTTGCCTTCACGAAGTGAGCCCTTCTAGCGATGTGTCGGCCATCCTCAAATACTAGAAAGGTTCTCGTGGAAGAGAAAATAGACTGGCTCTCAGTGGTACCCGGCAGAAGAATGGAGGCCAAGGGGCAGAGGTTTCTGGAGAACCAGTTGTGCTGAGGTAAGGGAGGAACAAACAGTTAAGACTTGGGGCTGCCCCACAATGAAACAAGCGGATGCAGGGGTGGAGAGGAGGGGCTACAGAATTCTCCTTGGTGGAACAGAAGGGGGATCCTTGCACCAGGTAGGTGGTCGGACAGTTGACCTATGAGGATGGTTCCAAAGGTGGCCCTCCGCTATTCTCTGTGGCCCAGACTTTCTAAGGGTGGCCCCAGCAGCCCCAGGGCAGGGATGGATGAGAGCCAAGCCTTTGCCTGTGGAGTCTGAACCACACTGCTTCCCACCTCACCCAATGCCACACCCAGGCTCGGGGCTGGGAGCACTGCAGCTGGTGAGGGGAAATGCATCAGATTCACGTCTTCAGAAATCAGGACTCCTATTCCCAAATTACCCACTGTTTGCCCAATCCACTGCCTGCAGACGGGGTTAGCAGACCAAGTGGGACCCGCCCCTGCAGTATTGAGTACTGAGGCCTTCCTGTCTTTGTCCCAGAAGATGGATAATGCCACTGTGATGAGGTTCCGGGGGATCATGTCAATCTCCTTCAGTCCACCTTTAGCTGTGATGATGGGGAGGTTCTGAAGTCAGACTAGCTGCGGCTCCTCAGGTGGCGCCAGATTCCGGTACTTTCACCCGCTTTGCTTCCCAAGGTGGCCCTCTTTGTGGAGACATGGAAGTCACAGCGACACTCACTCAGGCCCACACCAGTTTCAAGAAACCTCCTATAGGAACTTCCCTGGCAGTCCAGTAGTGAGGACTCCATCCTCCTGGGGTTCAATCCCTGGTCGGGGAACTAAGGTCTTGAAAACTGCGTGGGAGAGCAAAAAAAGAGAAAAGAAACCTCATACAGTCACACAGTTGCCTTAACGTGATGACCCTGACTGGCCCAGAGCCGCAGGGCACCAACGAATGCCTCAGGAAAATAATTCCTTGCATTGTCCTGGCCTTTTGGCCCTTCTGCTCAAGTGGATGCTCTGAAGGACCAAAAACTTGTTTGCTCTTTGCATCTGAGGCAGTTGTAAGGGACTTCCATTGCAATCAAGGTCTCTATGACTGTTTTGTCTTCCAGCAAGGAATAATCATTCTCTAAGTATCCTAACCACATCAAAGAATCTCATTCTCAAGACTTACACCTAACATTTCTCAACTCTTAGACCCAGAGAGTTCTATACGGCAGTTGTTTCTTTGCCTCCACTCAAGACCACTATGCCTACTACCGTAATTCATTAGAAAGAAGGCCAGGGCATTTCTGTGTTCGCTCCAGCTCTGCTGCTGCTGCTGCTGCTAAGTCGCTTCAGTCGTATCTGACTCTGTGCGACCCCATAGACGGCAGCCCACCAGGCTCCTCCACCCCCAGGATTCTCCAGGCAAGAACACTGGAGTGAGTTGCCATTTCCTTCTCCAATGCATGCATGCATGCATGCTAAGTTGCTTCAGTCGTGTCCGACCCTATGCAACCCTATGGACAGCAGCTCACCAGGCTTCTCTCTCCACAGGATTCTCTAGGCAAGAGTACTGGAGTGGGTTGCCATTTCCTTCTCCCTGCAGCTCTGGAATCATGAAAATAATGGAATAGAGCCCTTTAACCAAATTCCATCTTAACAAGCCAGTCCTGCCCCCGGAGGGAGTTGCTAGGATTGGGACTCTGCTGATGGTGGGACCTCACCAGCCTTCCTCAGCCAGTGGGTACCGATGAGCAGGCCCTTTATGGGTGGCTGGCAAGTTCAGGAAGGGGTTGCCGAGCCCTGCCCAGCGAGGAACCTCCCTCGATTGATACGCTCTGAACAGCGGCAGGAAGGAGAGGGGAGTGGTGGAGGACAGAGGAGAGGATGGACTGGGGCAAGCCCGGAATACTGATGCCAAGTGGAAAATTTGAAACCTTGGCCACCAGGTGTCTGAACCACTAGGGGGACAAGTGCTGTTGCAATGTTTTTCTCCCCATCAGCACCTCAAAGCTTCTGCTCTCAGCACTTAAAATCTGCTTTCTGGAATATTCAGAATTATGTTTGGGAAATTTAAGAAAATAGTTCTCCAAATTCAGACACTGAAATAAGCCAGGCAATGCTGATGGAGAGCTCAGCTTCTGGGACCTTCCACTTCCCATCAGCCAGGCGGGAAGGCCAGATCCTCTCATCTCTTTTTCATGAGTTTATGCCTGGTCTCTGGGCAAAGAGGTGTGCTCCTTGAAGGCAGTCATTGTATCTTCCACTTCTGGGCAGCAAGGAGTTCAAGGAGTCTGAGTTTAGAATTTGAGTGGGACCGGAAGTATCGGAGTTGGATGTGGTGGCCGGACTTGCCTTTCTCCCATGTGGTGGTGGTTTAGCTGCTCAGTCGTGTCCGACTCTTTGCGACCCCATGGACTGTAAACTGCCAGGCTCCTCTGTCCGTGGGATTCTCCAGGCAAGAACACTGGAGTGGGTTGCCATTTCCTTCTCCAGGGGATCTTCCCGACCCAGGGATCGAACCTGGATCTGCTGCACTGCAGGAGGATTCTTTAACTACTGAGCCGCCAGGGAAGCCCCGCCCTCCTCCCACGTCTGACCACAGTTTCTTGGTTTTTTAGGAAGAAAAGGAGACGTGGGCATGAAAGGAGACATGGGGGTCATGGGACCCCCCGGAGCTCGGGGGGATAAGGGTGACTCAGGAAAGCCGGGTTCCCCAGGTAAGAGTCTGCACGGTCAAGTCTGTTGTCCTGTGGGTGTTCCCTTTTGCCTAGCAGGCTGAAGCTAGAGGGTAAAAATACAATCCCTAAAAATCCTTCTGTATTTTAGGAGTGGCTGGAATTCCTGGAATCAAAGGTGATCAAGGTAAGAATTGTCAGAATGGGCATCATTCCAGGTAGCACTGTCCCTGTCCTGTATATGACTGTAATATTAACCCAGAGCCTCTGAGATTTTATAAAACCTGGCCGATCCTTAAGAGGAACAGAGCAGTATTCAGAGGGCAGGCCTAATTGACATTCTTTCAGAGAGCTTCTCTTCACTCTGCTGCTCAGGCCTGTGCAGCCAGACACTCACATCCCGAGTTCTGAGTAAGTCCATAAGCTTCAAACCCTGCAGCAGTGAATGGAAATAAATTAATAAATTGCTGAGACTGTAATTCTCCTCCCACTAATAGGGCTAGTTTAAGGCTTCTAAAGAGAGATCTTTCAAGCTGCCCAGGGAATATTTAAGGTGTTAAGAGATGCATGTTCCTCTGCAGAGAACAGTGTGTTGAAAGCATAGGCAGCCAGGCCCTCTACCAACCACCCTCAGCCTTCTATTCATGACTTTCCTTTCAGGACCACCTGGAGTGACGGGTCTTCCAGGCTTTCCAGGAGCTGTGGGATCCCCAGGTGCCAAGGGCGAGACTGGCAGCACTGGCCCCACTGGGCCGATAGGTGAGATCCTGGGTCCTGTGGTGGGTATGGGGAGTGACGTCTGAAGACCCACCCAGCCCAGCCCTGACACTCTCTGTGGCATCTGTTGTCCAGGACCACCAGGGATGCCCGGGAGACCAGGAGTCGAAGGTGTGAAAGGAAGCAAGGGGGACACAGGTAACAGAGGCTGTGGGTAGGTGGGCAGGTAGGGTTTCTGGGTGTCAGTGATGGACGCGGAGCAGGGCTACTGCCCAGCAGGGCCATCAGAAGGAGGCAGAGGGTCTCCTGTGCTCTGGCCCTTGAAGCATCTGGATCTAAGAAGGGCACTTTTCTCTGCCAGAGCCCTTTGAGTCCAAGGCCCTGTGGCTGTTTGTCTCTGCCCAGAGTCCATGAGAGACCTGAATGCCACAATCTAATCTCCACTGGCACACAGGAGGGGGTGGTGTGGGCACCTTACTCGCACTGTCTCCTGGCCTGCCTTCCAGCTGTGTGCATGTAGAGCCCGTTCTCTCCACTGACCTGAGGTGGAGCCCCAAGGGTCAGGGCTCTGGATTTGGGCAGCAGTTGTCAAAAAAACCCTGGCTCAAGAGGGTAAAGCATTTGCAATGCAGGAGACCAGTTTCAATCCCTGGGTTGGGAAGATCCCCTGGAGAAGGAAATGGCAACCCACTCTGGTACTCTTGCCTGGAAAATCCCATGGATGGAGAAGCCTGGTAGGTTACAGTCCACAGGGTCACAAACAGTCAGACACTACTGAGTGATTTCACTTTGTCAAAAAACCCTTCTTGCACATTCTCCCAGGGGGGCCCAGGCTGAAAGGAGTGACCCACAGTTACCCAACTCACAGAGACTAGTTCATGAACCATCACGCCAACTTAGTCAAGGTCATAAACCAGTAGGCCAATTTAGTCAAATTTATAAACCATCCTACCAATGTGGTCTGCTTTATAAACAACTGCTAACTTTTGCTAGTCACTAAGTAAGTCCGGGCACCCATGATGATCTAGAAAGTCTGGTCCACTGGATAGTCTAGAAAGTGTTGGGCCTCCAAGACACATAAGACTTGGTTCCTGCCCTCAGACATGCAGGCTGGTACAGAAGACAGGCCGACAGACTGTTGTCAGATGGCGTCAGGCCCACTCTGCTGAGGGTTTTGCATGGAGGAGTGCCACGTGTCATTTAGGAAGCCAGGTGCAGGCCAGGAGGTGCTGTGGCCAGTGCAGGGTGAGAAAGGGCTGGGCATCTTCCAAGGATGTCTGTGGACAGTCACTGCCAGTGCGGAAGGTCATACTTGAGTTAGACATCTGGACGCCTCCACCCCAGAGCCACGCTAGAAACCCACACTGGGGGCAGGCCCTCTCATTTTTCATTGATCAAGTGGCCAATGGATTGATTGATTGTTTTTTAAACAGATGTGACTTGGCCCTGTCAAAATCTTCAAGTTCACAGTGGCCCCTGGTGTGGGTAGCAAAATGTAGCATCTTGCAGGAGTGATGGAAGAGCTGGAGTTGAGGCATAGAGGATGACTAGGGCTTGGCCAGGTGGAGAGAGGAAGGCAAGTCTAGAGAAAGGGAACAGGGCAGGCGAAGCCTTGGAAGGTGAGGGAGGGCTCTGTAGGTCGGCATCCCTTGAGTCCAGATCTGGCATGTGGTGGAGGCTCAGGAAGCTCTGGCCAGAGAGCTGGGCAGGCCACACTTTGAGCCAAGGACTCTGGGCCTTTGACATTTGGGTTTCCCCTCAAGGGTGTCAGGAGCCCTGGGACAGGTGACTCCTATACACGCTGTCCTTCTAACCCATCCATCTTCAAAGCTGTTTTCCTTTTCACAGATGGTGGGTCAGGACAGGCAGGGGCTCTGCTACCCAATCCCATGTGGATGCCACCTGAAGGCTCTCGGCAAAATCTTGCCTTCCAGGCTCCATCTGGGTTTAGTGGTCAGGCGACCCCAATTTGCTGGCTGCTTCTTTCTGATCTATACTTCTCTCTTCCCCGACCCCAGATCTCAGGATTTCTGACTCTGAGGCCTAAAGCTGTCTTACCCCTGAGTTTTCTGCTTGGCTTTATGGCAATGTTGGCTTTTCTCCCTCAGTTATAAATTTTGGGGGAGCCCCTGCACCCCATCCCCCCTTTGCCAGACTAGTGATTCTTGCCTAAGCAAGATTATGGGTGATAAAACAAGATTTTACACCAAGCAGCACTGCACCCACCTCTCAGGTCCCCAGCCTATGTCTCCCACTGTCTGAAGGCAGGGAATCTTGCCTGCACTCTGCATCCTGGCAGGGTTTGATTCCTAAAACTCAAAGGGCATTTTCATGATAGCTCAACAGGATCCACACTCTTGTTAGAGCTGCTTCACAGTAAGAGATGCAGCTAGGGTTGGAATCCAGGGCTGGCTAACTCAAAACTTGGGGCCGCATCCATTATACTTGATCATGCTGCCTTTTCCCTCAAACAACCTGAGAGCACCCCCACCCCATCAGGGCATTCTGATGAGCGCCTTCTCTCTCTACCCAAGTCCTGGAAGGATCAGAGTGGAAGCTTCAACAGCTCTTCCACTCTTAGAAGGAAACAGAGCTGTTAGGCCCTGCTATAGTTCTTTGCTATTTACCCAAGATCCCACCCCAAGATCCCACAGACACTTTTGGTTGACTGGGAATCATTTTACCTTCATTATCAAGTCTTTGGGGCTGTTAGTGGTAAAGAACCTGCCCACCAAGGCAGGACACATAAGAGATGCAGGTGTGTCTTCTACCCCTGGGCTGGGAAGAGCCCCTGAAGAAGGGCATGACAACCCACTCCAGTATTCTTATCTGGGAATCCCATGGACAGAGGCCTGCGGCTACAGTCCATAGGGTCACAAAGAGTCAAACATGACTGAAGCAACTCAGCACGCACACATGCATATTAGGTGGGCATCTTTACGGGAACTTCCATCAGCCAAGCCTAGTGGTGAATACCAAACCTGGAAAGTTCTAAAGGTTATTCCTTAACTCCAGTTGCTCAAGTAAACACGATGAATTGCATTTTCAATTTGGGGTGTGTGATGATCATAACTTATTCCAAATTGCATAGGTTTCCACTTAAATCCAAACGTTTCCCTTGATCAAGTAACAGATGGTTCACATAGACAGCTTGGATACCCGTGGGGCCATAACCTGGCTAGCTGTAGCCAGGGCTGTGTATCATCCTGAAGTCATGGGTTAATGGACTTTTGGAGAGGTCAGATTTCTGAAGTGGGAGAAGGAAGGGTGGGTGGGAGCCAGATCTTCTCATCATGGAAGGCAATTTCTATTTGTCAATGTCAGGATGTTGGTGATCCCCAAGCTAGAGGTACTGCAGTATTTGTTCAGTTTTGATTATATCAAGCCAGTTTTTCAAACTGATGTATTTCCCAAAAATCATCAGTCTCACAGGAGACTATCCAGCTGCATGGGATTGAAAACAGAGAAACTGCGGTCCCTTGACGTAACCTACGTAACAGCTAGATCTCATGTTTGTGCATGTGTGCTCAGTTGCTCAGTTGTGTCTGACTCTTTCCCACCCTATGGACTTCAGTGACCAGGCTCCTCTGTCCATGGGATTTCCCAGGCAAGAAGACTGGAGTGAGTTGCCATTTCCTACTCCAGGGATCTTCCCAACCCAGGAATCAAGCCTGTGTCTCCTGAATTGGCAGGTGGATTCTTTACCACTGAGCCACTTGGGAAGCCCCGTTATTGTGCATTAATTACCGAAAGAAAGAAGTCTGTTTATTATTAACAACACCTCTAAGCCAGGTACTCTGTTTGAGCCTTTACTCCCATGATCATAGTGCAGCCACCCACACAGCTGAGTTTCACCATCCCTACCTCACAGCTGAAGAAGTAAAGGCTCCCAGAAAGTAAGACCTTTCCTCGGGGTCTCATAGTTAATATACACTGAGTCCAAGATTTAATCCCAAAGTCTGGTTCCAAAATTGTGCTTTTCTAAATTTTGTTGTATAGAATAGCATAGAGTATAGGACACAGAGAGATCATAAATGCCCATATTTTCCACCCCACAGTAGATGGGTCAATTTGATTTAGTGATCAAATCTTCCTGCTATTTTAAACACTCAATAACCACACTCTAATCCATTCTGGTGGAATATTTCCCCATGTTTACACCCCTTGAGAAAAAGAAGCCATCTCAGATTAAAGATGGCAAAGAGGAGACTCCTTCCATTCTGTTGGGAAGAGAGATTGCATAGTTAATATTTAAGAGGCATTATCACCGAGAAGAAATTTTTCTAATGGTAGCTCCTTTCACCACTCACAAACCCCCAAAACTTAGTGTTTTCTAACCTTTGATCTTTCAAATGACTGCAAAATCACTCGACTTCAGGAAAAAAAAGTAAAAAAAAAAAAATCAACAACAAAACTAATTTTAGCTCTAAATCCTTTAGCCATTTCGAAAAGTAAACTTTGTTTGAAAATAAGGAAGGGCTCACTTCAGCTTGTGATCATGGCATTTCTCTTTCTACCTCCACATCTCATGAAACGATGTTAGAAGCAGCCAAAACATTTAAGCTCCAAAATACCAGTCTGATCAAAATTTCTGCATCTCAACAGTACTCATGTCTAAAATATAACAAGAATCTGAATTTTCTATGTCCTTTTATGTTTCTTTTGAGGCTAAGCCAATGTGCCAATAACTTGAAATCTAGTTCCTCATCTGTATTTAAAGATGTGTTTTACTTTTAAAGTAACAAAGAATAATCCAATAGCAATTAAGCCCTAGATCATGAATACAATTTCTCAGCTAATTTCATTCCCCGTGTCTAAGTATTGAGTTAGTCTAAGAATTTATTAAATTCTCCCAACTCATATTACTAAATTGCCACAGATTTTCCCTCATTTTCCTGTTTCTTAGAGACATTTGTAGAAGTCTACATGTGTCCCAGTTTTGGGTCCCCTATCTACCATCTGACTTCTTATCAGACAACTCTAAGTTGTTCGTTATTAAATTAACCATAAGTTTGCCAGGCTGCACTTAGCCTGTAAGTTGGGATGGTATTGAAGGGAGTTTCTAAACGTACTGGAAATTTCTACATTAAATCAGAGCCAGTAGGCCTGTATATTATGTTGGACTTGTCAACTAGCTAGGTGATGATAGGTTGTTATAGGACCTTGCAAGGCCTTGGTTTGCCCCTCTGTGGAGTACAGGGAAAGTTCTAGAATAATACCCAAGTCCCTGACAATTAGACAGCATTCTGGATTTGAAACAGGCAATTTCCCCTGATTGAAGGGAAAGATTTTAGGCAGAGCACCAACTGAACATGAAACAATAGGAAGACTTGTGCTTTTCAACTAAACTATTTTCTTGGGAGAAAATTAAGTCTCTAAATAAGCACCTTGCAAATAAACACTTGGGGCCCTTTCAGCTTGAGCCTGTGACACCCAGGGAATCCCGGTTTGCTTGTGGTTAAGAGAACAAACTCAGCATTCCTTCCCTTCCAATGTAGGCTTACAACATGCACTTCTGAACATGCACTTCTGTTTTTCAGCCATTTCTCCTTCTCCCTGATCCAATCAAGATACCGCCTTAATTTATAGTAAAGTAAATACTAGTCCTTGGATCCATGCACAGCCATTCAATGAGCACCCTCTCAGGGTCAAGGGAGGCCTGGAGAGAAATCACACAAAACTCAATTCCAGTGTTCTCCACTTGAAGAGGGGAGTTTTGAAGATAAAACCTACACCTATTATATATCTGTTCATACCTATTATACATTTCTTAGAGGGCATTTTATCAAGGGCCAGTGGATTCCGTGAGAGCTCAGCCAGGGGAGGGGTCATTAGTTCTCTAGAGACAGGAAGTCTTCTTGGAGGAAGGTGAGCTGTGAGCTGGTCCCTGAAGACTGAGTGGGATGTGTTTAGGGAAGTGGTTACTCAAACCTTGATTCCTGGACTAGAGGCATCAGCAATACCTGGAAACTTGTTAAAAACACAGCGTCTCAGATGCCCAAACCAGATGCACTGAATCGGAAACTCTGGGGTGGAGCTTAGCAAGTTGTTTTTTGTTTGTTTGTCTGTTTGTTTTTAGAAATGTAAGGGAGAAGGATTTCTAAATATTTTTATTTATTTATTTGGCTGTACTTGGTCTTAGTTGTAGCATGCAAACTCTCAGTGTGGCATGTGGGATCTAGTTCCCTGACCAGGTATCGAACCCAGGGCCCCTGCATTGGGAGCTCAGAGTCTTAGTCACTGGACCACCGGAAAAGCCCCAGAAAGTTTTTAACAAACCTTGTACAGGTGACTCTGATGTTCACTGTAGTTTGACTACTCATGTAGGAGTAAGCAATGGCCCAAGGCTACTGAAAGTCTCTGGAACCAGGTGGAGAGCCCATGTGAAACCCCAGGCCGGAGTGAGCCGGCACACTGGTGGAACAGGCAGCCACAGTGCCCAGTGGGAGGCCAACGCTGGTTCCCAAGCCCAACTTCACCGCTCCCTCTCTGTGTGGCCTGGGATAAATCACCTAGCATCTCTGAGTGTAGACTCCCTCCTCTATAAAGAGGGAAATGGCACAACCTAGCAGGACAGCTGAGAGATGTATGGGAAGCCCCTGACAGGGTGTCCAGCATAACACATGCAGGGGCAGATGCTTAGTCTCTAAGAGGTGAGGGGCTGGGGGAGGGTGTGAGAAATGAGGTGGGAGAGTCAGGCCTCGGGGACCATGGACCCACTGAGCCGGGGCTTACCTAGGGCTCCTGCTTGTACAAGAAATTTGTTGTTTGGGGCTCTGGAGGCTTCTTAGGTAGTGGGCAGGCAATCAGGAGAGATCACAGTGTGAGATGGCTTCAACCTTGCATCTAGGGACAGGCTCTTAAGGTAAAGATTTGTGCAATATGGCACCCTTCAGGATGAGACACAGGGGGTCAAGAGTCTAGATATGAACCATTTCTCTATTTAACAACCAAAGACAGGTTTCTGAATGCAGTTTCTCCTCCCTAATCTTGACACCTGCAATTCAGATGCAGGTAAGCACAGAGTCTGACTTCCCAGATGGCACAGTGGTAAGCTTCAAAGAATCTGCCCTCCAATGGAGGAGAGTCAGGTTTGATCCCTGGGTCAGGAAGATGCCCTGGAGGAGGAAATGGAAACCTACTCCGGTATTCTTGCCTGGGAAATCCCAGGGACAGAGGAGCTTGATGGGCTACAGTCCATGGGGTCACAAAGAGTCAGGTACAACTGAGGATTGAGCACACACCTAAGTAGAGAGTTCACATCTGCCGCCCCTGCTGGGCCACTTACGGTCAACGGCAAACATTTGGAGGGGCTTCCTGGGCAGCAAGGCCGGAGCTCCTGTGGGGCCTTTAGCCCCAGGGTCCCAGGTGCTCCCCACTGGAGGAATACATACAAGTACCAAAAGGGTCCCCAGGGTCCGCATGGCAACACTTGCCAGACACGAGGCTTAGGGCTTGACACAGGTGACTTCATTTCAGTCTCATAACCATCCCCAAGGCAACCAGAAGCTCAGAGGAGAAAGGTTAGGCTGACAGAGAGGGAACTGGACTAAATGTCTCGGAGGCAGATGCAAACCCAGGCTATCTGACTCTGAGCCCTGTGCTGCCTTAGGAGGAAGCGCATCATCCATGGGCAAGGCCAGAAAAGGTATTATAGTCGGCAACATCTAGCATCAAAGCAGCTTTCACAGGCTTGATCCAATTCTCCAGGAGACCAAAGGGGTGCGACTTTCCAAACAGAGGGAACAGAGGAAGCACAGCTGGCCCAGAGTGAGCTGGGGCCTGCCTGCCAGCTGACCTCAAAGGTTCCTCCAGCTTTTAGGAGAGGCTCTCTGAGACTCAAACTGGTCCTCATCTCAAGAATGAGGGGCAAAACTAGTTGCTCTCTCAGATCTTTCCAGCCCTTCCAACCTCCCTTCGTGCCCAGGCCTGCAGTAGCAGCTCCTAGCTCCTCAGCCCTCTGACCCTCCTCCTCGGGCGAGCCATCTGAAAGGCAGCCAGGAGCCAGGACTCCTTGTTCATCATTCCAAGAAGGGATCCTGAAGAGGCCTGCCAGGCCCCGCCTCTGCCCTCCACTGACCAGCACACAGTGGGTGATCAGGAAAGCCAGGAATTTGAAGTGGAGGCAGGAACGTCCCCCAGGCGATTCGCAGTGAGAGTAACTGAGTTCCTCTTGGTTCCTAGTGACCATCCAGTGAGTGGGTTTCTGGTCAAAGCCGAGCTGGCTTGTTGGAAGGGACCCCAGTCAAGATCATGGTGGAAGTACAATCCCATTGTTACCCTCAAGAAACTGTTACTTCATGATCAGTAATGAGCTTTACTTTCCCCAAGTTTGCATGACTGTCTTGAAGAGTCCTATTTCCCTGAAACTGAGAGATCATGGAGTTGCTAAACCAATAGGTTATTATCCCACAATAAGTAATGACCCGTCACGGTGCTGGGAACAGTGGGCCTTCTACATAATTTAGTGAATAAAGAAATGAATGGAGGAAGGAAGGAAGGGAGGCAGGGAGGAACTTTCACATCAGAACTACAAATAGAATCATCTCAAATAATTGCAGTGATTATTTTTCCATTTTCTGGACATGAGAACCTTTAGCTGCCTAACTGTTTAGCTACAGTGGGGGCCACAATGAAATAAACCAATAGACTTATGGAATATCTACTGAGGCTGAGAGACTCCCAGAGCTTCTAGTGGCCACTGAGTCCCCTCCACAGTCTTTTAGAAATAAAAATAACTTTATTTTCAAAATATCTCTCAATTCTTTTCCAATAGAAAATCTTTTTTCCAATCTTTTCCTTCTTTTGCAACAAGAAGGAATAGCTATCAAGCCAGGTTATTACTGGACAAAGAAAGCCAGTTACTGAGTGTGGGGTCTGTTCACCTAAGCCAGACCTTCATTCACCACATTTCTATTTCACCCCAATACACGTCCCCATTTATCTGCAGTCTGTCTGCTTTTATGCTCTGCTAAAGAGGCTTTAAACAATCGAGGAGAACCAATGTACCTTTCCATCTGCATTAATCAGACAGAAGGTAGAGGTTGTCTAAGATTAAAAGTGTTTAATATCTAAGTTTTATTATCTTCTTCCCTTTTCTGTATTTTGATCTTAGGACTTCAAGGACAGAAAGGAACAAAAGGAGAATCAGGATTTCCAGGTAAAGCACTGGCTTCATTTTAATTTTCCACAATAATGACTGGAAGGACTGTCTGAGGCAGGTTTTGTTGACCCTGAAAGCTGGGCTGCAACCACAGTAACTTTCCACCAGAGTGCCGAGGCCTCCAGGGCTCTGTCTTTCAAGCCTCAGGCTCTTGCAGTGATAACCCAGGGGAAAGGGTATAGAGACGGGGGTGGAGCTGAGAGCGGAAACTAAAGAAGCCCTGGGAGCTGCCCATGGCGGTGAATGCAGGCTGCGCAGCCGCTGTGGAGCTAAGCAACATTTCTCTCCAGCTCCCAAGATGGTTGCCTGGCCTGTATCTCTTTGGTCCATCTCCCTGTTCACTTCGGCCCTCAAGGCACCCCCTCCTCCTGCTACTTCTCACAGGACTATCGTTACAGGCCTCGTGGGTCCCCACCCTTACACACGGCATTTCTAGTCTTCTTGCTGGCCCCACCCTAAGGAGCCAAAACAAAAACTCCTCAGACGCATTTCCTAAGCAGTCTTTATTACTCCTAAGGTGGATTTTCTTTTCCTATTCTAACTTACTAAAGGGGAAATTGAGGCCTGGAAATGTTCTAGCAAATTCTCCCAGAATGGCTTCCACATAATGGCCCCATGAGGACCAACAACTTCAGAATCCTGTCGGCTCTTTCCACCCTCTTCTCCCCAGAGTTTAGCTGGGAGGTGGGGGGTTGGGGCGAGGGCAGCACTCTGCCCCTGCCCCCAGGCTGAACATCCAAATAGCCCACTGATGGGGGGGCGGCCTTCGGGACAATTCATTCATTAAACACGAAGGCTGTTAGTTTCCCCTGGAAAGTAGATCAGAGCACCTGATGGCAGTGGTCTCTCTCCCCCAGGCCTTGCAGGCATGAAGGGAGAGAAGGGAAGCCCAGGCCTGGGAGGCCTCAAGGGGGAACCTGGACCAAGTGGCCAGAAGGGAGAGCCCGGATGGAGAGGTAAGGTCTCGGCTTCTGACATAAGAGCTCAAAGGAGAGGCCTGTTGTAAGGGGTTGGGAGTGGTTTTCAGAACCAGAAGGCTAGAGGTTTAGTGGTTCTGTGGAGAAGTCTCGTGCTGGGACTGCCCTCGGCCCAGAGCTTACAGAGGTGAATAAGGCACAGCTGGGCACTCAGAGCGGCAGGTGACAATGTGCTGGCAGCGCGCCCAGCCCTGGACCCTGCAGTCTCCGTGACTGACCTCAGCAGAGACCTCCCACTCCATGCCTCTTGGATGTCCTTCTCTAATCTAGCTGAAGTCCCTCCTGCTGTAGCTCAGACCCATTTCTTCTTGCTCAGCCATGGAGATCCATGGCATGTCCAGTCCCCCTGATGCCGGGGGCCGGCAAAGAGGGAGGAGAGAGTCCGACCCCCAGCACCCCTCCCCACTGGTGGCGAAGGAGAGCGGGGCTTCCTGACGTGGTTTCCTTCACACTCTGCGGTTTTTCTCCTCGTGACAGGAGCTACTGGGCCACAAGGAGCCAAGGGAGAAAAAGGTCAAAAAGGTAATTGCTATTTCTGTTCTCTTTAACACATGCTATAGAGGCTACTCTGTACTTGAAAGTTGTATGTGTCCTGGAAGGGAGGCCTTGGTTCTCAGAGAGCTTCCTCATTTGGGGGGAAAGCTAAAAGGCTTGTCCCTTGAACAAGCCTGCCCGTGTCCCAGAGCCACAGGTAACACTTTCTCTCCCTCCCTTCTTTCCTTGCTTCTTCCCCACCCCCAATTCCCTCCCTCTCTTCCTCCCTTCTTCCTCCTCCCTTTCTTCCCCTCCACAACACAAGCAAAACATGGTGGGCTGGATTTGCAAGGCCAGCTGCAGAGGCACCTCCTGCTGCGGCCTCAGGCCTGCAAGCCTCAGTGCACAGAGGCCGCTGACAGTGCTGGAGCCGTAACATGGGATCTGACCGCTGTGAAGACAGCCAAGCAGAGACTTCTTTCCCCTAACTGTAGGACTTGCAAGGCAAAAAGAGAAGGGGGAGGCAGAGGATGAACTGGTTAGATAGCATCACTGACTCAATGGACGCGAGTCTGAGCAAAGTCTGGGAGATAGTAAAGGACAGGGAAGCCTGGCGTCCTGCAGTCCATGGGTCGCAAAGAGTCATCCACGACTGAATGACTGAACAACAACAGGACTTCCAGAAATTAAAAGGCCGAACCTGCACCTGCCCAGAGCCCGGGGCTGCGTCCCTCACCTCTGCCCGTGTGTTTCATCACCAGGTGACTCCTCGTTAGCCGTCCGGATTATCGGCTCCGGAAGCCGAGGCCGAGCTGAAGTCTTCTATAATGGCGCGTGGGGGACAATCTGCGATGACAGCTGGAACAATGCAGATGCCACCGTTTTCTGCCGCATGCTGGGTTACTCCTCTGGGACTGCTATCTACAATGTGGGAGCTGGTGAGTGAATCAGTCCTCAACCAGGAGTCTTTTTTTTTTTTTTTGAGGTATTGATCTGAGCTTTCTCTCCTGGGTAGGGTGTTGGCACCCATCAGTTGCAAGTGATTCATAGTGGTTGGCTTAAAAAAAAGGGATTGGTTCAAGCAACTGAAAAGGTTCGCAACTCAGGGCCCCAGCTTACATCCTTCTGGCTGGCAGCCCCAGGAGAAAGAAGGCTCTCTTCTCCTACAGGGACAGCAGTTGCTATCTATCCAGCCTTAGAGCCAGAATGCCACATGTCCAACAGTGTTTGTGAGGGATGCTCTCTGAAGGACAGCTGAGTGGCGAACAAAGGAGAACAAAGATGCCAGGCAGGCGAGCACAGTGGTCATCTCAGCTCTCTGGAGCATGAAGGCCTGGTCAGCCCAAGCTTGGTCATCTTCAAGGAGAAGGGAAGAGACAGCAAATCACAGGGACTTCCTAAAATCAGTTTTGGAAAGATGTCCTGGAGTGCTGGAGACTCAACTATGTTTTGCAGCAAAAGGTCATTTTCTTTGGCCATAAAAGTGGACCTGTGCTTCCCTGTGGCTCTGTGGTAAGGAATCTGCCTGCCAATGCAGGAGACATGGGTTCGATCCCTTGGTCAGAAAGGTCCCCTGGAGTAGGGCTTGGCAACCCACTCCAATGTTCTTGCCTGGAAAACTCCATAGACAAAGGAGCCTGGTGGGCTACAGGTTATTGGGTTGCAAAGGCAACCTGGCAACTAAACAACTAAACGACCACCAAGAGCTGACCTGCCAGCGACACTAGGCTGGTTTCTCCTGCTCCTGCCCCCAAATCTTTTCTGCCCTTACCCCTCCCCCTCCACCCCACCAAAAATGCATACCTACTTTTTAATCTGAGTCTAGTTGGATTATAAAACTCCTTCAAAATACACATTTCCTCCCACAGATTAAGCCTATATAGATTGTTACACTGTAGTGTAAGTTACTGGAGTCAAATAAGCCAGCAATTCCTCTGAGCTCTTGATCTGAAATCAATTATATCAGAAGGAAGGGGGTTTGAAGGAGACACGAATGCTCTGGAACTGGGAATGACCTGGTTACAAAGGCATTTAAGGAAGAGACAAACCCTGAGAGATCCCTAGGAGATTTCAAATCATGCTTGGATTACATATTAAATACTTGGATGAGATTTTATCAAAGGGTAGAAAGCAGAACAGAGGCAGAGTCTCATAAGAGAGCAGATCAGTCGTCCACACCGTGGGCCTGGGCAGTTGCAGGAGAAATGATCAGTCTAGCTCCCTGTGGAAGATCCCGAGGACAGACGGACCACACAGCTTGGCCCCTAATCCCACACCCCTCTCGCTCCTTGCTTTCTCTGTGTCCAGGCTCTGGGAACATCTGGCTGGACGATGTTGCGTGTCGAGGGTCAGAATCAACCTTGTGGGATTGCAACAAGAGCAGCTGGGGCTCTCACAACTGCAACCACAGTGAGGATGCGGGCGTGAGCTGCAGCTGACCCCACAGCCCACTCACCACTCTGCCCCCAAGGTGTCCACGGCCAAGACACTCAGCCCACGAAGGGAGGCGGTGCCCTCTGAGGGGCTCCCAGAGGTGGCTGGCAGCCTCTGAAGTGGGTTCAATAAAGCTAATACAGTTCAAAGTGCTACCTGGCACCACCCTGGGCTGTGGCTGAAGCTACTGGCTCATCTCTCTGTCGTGCAGTGCTTCACTGAGTCCTCATGCTCCTCGCAGCGCCCGCCCGATGCGCAGGGACGGTGGAATCTTAGCTCAGACCTGAGGTATGTGGGGGCTGAAATCCGATGGTGACAGTGGGGCTCACCTGTTGTCAGAATTAGTCAGGACCAGCCCTTCAGTCAATCAGATGTAGCCTCTTCGTTCAGCAGTTTGGATGGCCCCCCAGCACTGGAGCGGCTCGCCAGCAAATGAAGAAACCTCATGTAGCTGACACCAGGTTGCATGGAAAATAGGAACTGTACCTTTAAGCATGAAAATTTGTTCTCATTAGGATGTGAGTTCCATATACGCAGGAACTTTCATCCATTTTATTCACCTGCGGGAGACGTGGGTTCAATCCCTGGGTTGGGAAGATCCCCTGGAGGAGGGCATGGTAACCCACTCCAGTATTCTTGCTTAAGAATCCCACGGACAGAGGAGCCTGGTGGGCTACAGTCCATGGAGTCGCAAAGAGTCAGACCCGACTGATGCGACTCAGCACAGATGCACGCACTTGTAAATGGTAGACCCCGGGAGGAACAGTGAAAGGGCTGCGAGACGGAGCGGACACCACAGGGCTTCCTCCCTCAAGAGCTCCGCCGGCCACCCAGGACCCAGTCTGCACTCTCAGAGGCTGCAGCTGCTCAGAGATCAGCACCAGGGTCAGGGCTGCAGGGGGATGGGAGAGCTCTCTGGACCTGGGCACAGAGAGGCAAATGGGACCAGGATTGGAAAGCTGGTTGTTTTAATTGCGTAGAAACCTTTATGATGATGCAGGTTTTCTTGGCGCTTCAGGATGGAAGAATGGAAGGTCAGGGAGGAAGGAAGCCTGTCAGGGGTTCTAAGATGTAGTATTTTACAAATGTAACTTGTGTGTCTTGTCAGCCTCCTTACCTCTCAAATTTTATTGCCCATTCCTTCTATCCTAACAAGTCCCTCCCATCCACCCACCCACAAGGAAAGTCAAGAGCAGGTCCAACCTGAAACAGAGCGGGGGGTCATCTCTCCCATCTGAATCTCAAAGTGACTTTCTGAACCTCTTTAGAAGAGGAGAACCATGAAAGCAGAGTTGAAAGCAGAAATAGTTTTCTGGTTTTTTCCATTCAGCTTACCAAAAGCCAAGCCTGGCTGACTTGCTCACAGTGTTTTAAGTGCAAGAGGTCAGAGCAGAGCAAGCAGGAAGGAAGGGTACTGTGAAAGCCCCCTGCCCTTCCCTGGGGAAGGTGGGAAAGGAGATGAGGAGACAGAAATAGAGGAGGGTTCTCCCTGGAGTATCAGCCCCAACTCTCCCATCTTCATCTCCTTTCCCAGGATCTGCCTCCTCCAAGAGCGATGGACTGTGGGACTGGGTCCTACCTGGGGGACCCCTTGCATCATCCTTAGGGATGTGTGAGCACGCATGCACTCCTCTCTCTCTCTCTCTCTCTCACACACACACATCTTTCCACGGGAACAAATAATAGTTTATAAGCAGAATAGACAAAATCCTTGCAGAGAATGGACCAACCTCCCCTTACCCCTCCCCTCCTCCAGCAAGAAAGCTGAAGGACACGGTTCAACACACCACAAATTTCCCTTCCATGGCTTTGGTTTTCATCTCTTCGGTGTTGATCGCCTAATCTATACTTCCAGTGAAAACCTCTCTCCTGAGCTCTGGCTACCCATATGTCCACCAGCTGCCTCCACGCAAGCACCTCAAAGTTCAGGCATCTAGAACCTGCTCCCTCCATCCAGTGTCCAAGACGGAAGCTGGGTGTCAGAAGCCCTGCCCCCACCAGGCACCAAGCATTCTACCTCCCAAATGTCTCTCCAGTCCACTCAGGTGTCTCCATCTCCGCCACCATCACGGTCCAGGCCACTGACCCGTGGCCTGGAAGCTGGAGCGTCTAACCAGTCTCTTTCCCCCACTGTGCTCCACCAACCACCTGTTCATTCTGCAGGCAGCAGCCTGACAGACCTTTAGAAATCATACAGCTCACTGCGCTGCTCTATGCTTATGTCTTTCAATGGCTCCCCGTTCCCTTAGGCGGTGGGTCAGACTCACCATCGCGACTTACAAGGTTGTGCCCTGACAATCTCACAAAGCCCTCCTGCAAACTTAGTGTTTCATTTCCCCTCTATTACAGCCAGCCCTTTGTTCATTCAGTTGCTCTTACATAACGTCTCTTACACAACAAACTGGTGATAGATATTTTCTGACCAGCTCTCTGAAGGAATGCTAAACAGAGCACTTAGCTTTTCAATATTGGTATTGCTTCACAGTCTCTCCTCTGACGAGAGACATATCCTTGTTATGCAGTGGTTCCTCAATATGAAGATTTTCTCCAAAGGCAAGTCTAATCCTAGGCCTTTCACACTTTAGGAGACTAGCTTTTGAAACAAAATTATGGGGTCCAAGTTTTGCAAGGTGTATTGTAAATTTTAAAAGATCCTATCTTCCCACTGTCTCAGCATCGCCACAAACAGGCTGTGAGCACCAGCCCAGGTGATCAGGGGCACCGTTGTGATAAGCTGGGCCCCTGCCACAAATCCCCCTTCCTCCCCCTGCCCACAGTGACTGTGACCCAGTGACATTCAAATGCACCAATGAAATCCCCTCGCACTGTTTGCTTGTGTACTCCATCCTGACCCCCCAGCGAAGACCCTTGTCCATGAGTCTTCACCCTCTCCTGGCTCCCCGTCTAAGTGGCTGGCCCACTCCCTGGGACCCCTCTCAACCTGTAGGGACTCTGTCTTGGTGAGTGTAATCCCCACACCTCTTCTGGGTCCCCTCTTGAGGCCACATCTGACCAACCATCCCATCGAAGAACACAGCACACCAGAGCAGCACATGATAGAAGGGATGCCATGCCCACCTTACCAGTGTGCAGACTGGGTCTCTGAGAGGTGTGGCCTGTGGTGTGTTGGCTCCAGTTCACCGTCTTTCTACCGACGGCCTTTGCAACGTGACTGCTGCTCTTCTCAACAGGAAGCAGGGCTGTTACTCTTTCACTGTCTCTCTCGGAATCCCCACCGTGATATGAAACCAAGCCCATGCTAAACCTAATGGAGGAGGCATGTGAAGGAGTGTGAAGTGTGTGAAGCATGACCCAGTTGCCCCAGCTGAGGTCATCCTCGGTAAGTTAGCATACAGCTGGCCACAGTCACGTTAGCGAGCCCAGCCAAGACGGGTCAAGCCTGGCCCACGTCAGAAGACCAGCCCATAAATTCGTGAGTGATCACAGATGGTTGTGGTTGAAAGCCACTAGGTTTAGGGGTGGTTTGTTTTATAGCAATAATGGCCTAAGAGAACTACACGCAGCTAATAAGAAGCAGTGGGGGATTCACACAGCAGGAGCGTTGCTGCCTGCACGTCTGCCTGATTTCCTGATAAGCTCTCCGGCCGAGCTCAGCTGAGGAAATCCTCTGGAACCACAGTGACCACAGAACTTGGCCGCAGCATGTGGCCTGCTGGTGCTGTGGCTGACTGGCGGCTCGTTGTGGGGCTGAAGAGGAACTGGGTAAAATTAGCAGGACAGCATTCTCAACCGTTGGAGAGCAGGCTGGGGCCTGGGGCCGCCATATGATGGGCATGACCTCTGCGTGACACTGCCGTCCACTTGAGAACACTCTCCTCCATCCTGCGTCCCCTTCCTGGGGATGCTGGACCCTCGCTGAGGCCAGCAGCACGGACACCAGCACTCAGCACACTGGCTGGGCACGGCAGACACGGAAGGGCCCTCAAAGGACCCTCTGTGTGCAGGACCCCCATCACTGCCCTGGCAGAGCAAGCTCAGAGAGTTTCCCAGCATCCAACTCTAGAAATGCAACTCAGGACTGAGGTTCTGGAGTCAGACATCCTGGGTTAGAATCCGGTGCTGCCATTTAACAGGCCTCCACCTGCACAATCAAATTATTGAAACTCTCTGGGTCCCAGTTTCCTCAACTGTAAAATAAAAACTAGTAACAGCTCCCCCCTCTTAGATTTCTTGTGAGGATTCATTGAATATAAGTTAAGGTCAAGGTCAGGATGATGGAAGAGGAGGACCTGGGGCTTGCCTCTCCCCACAAGTCCATCAGGAGTACATCTACAAGTTGAAAAGTTCACACAGAGCTCTAACAAAGGACCTCAGACAGCTAAAAGGACAAGAAAAGATCCCAGCATGGCCAGGTCAGATGAAGGAGAAAAAGGGAAGAAGAAGGAAAGAGGGAACAGGATGGCACCCACACACCTTGGGAGGGGGAGCTGAAGGAGAGGAGGGGTTTTGCACCTGGGGAGGCACCCTTCCTGGCAGCAAAGTACACTGAACTGGAGGGAGACAGTCATAGCCTGGGCGCCCCAGCTTGAGACGGCTGTCTGCCAGTGCAGGCAGGGGATGGGTGCTGAAGTGTGGGGTTGGGAGAGCAGACGTGGGGAGAAGACTGCTGTTGGCTGCATGGAGACAGCTTGAGGAGGCACGAGTGAGGAGCTCCACATCCCAGAAAGCTCCTGGAGGAAACGTGGTCTGCCTCCGAAGCGAGGTGCCATTGTTGAGTGGCGCACAAGTGGAGGGGTCTCCGTCAGGAGTCCTCGACAGGGAGACTCTCTCCCCACCACACCAGCCCCTGCCTCCACGGACACTAGAAGGGAGCCCCATCAAAGTGAACCCGTGCTCCCCATACATGGCTGCCTTATCACCCTCGTCTGAGTGAGCCTGCACTCCAGTCTGTAGCAGCCTCTTGCCCCTCCCACCTAAGCAAGCAAGAGCACCCTAGTCAGCCACTGACCTCCTCTCACCTGGGCAAGGGACAGGCACCTGAGGGTCGCCCACAGGCAGAGTTGGACCCCAAACCAAAACTGAGCCTGGGGCTGTGCAGCTAAGGAAGAAGAACTGAAATCTTTCCAAGAAACTGCACAGGTCATGGATTAAGCCCCAACAATCAGCTTGGTAAACCCAGCATCTGCAGCCTATAGGAATGGACACAAGTGCCCCAACTGAGACTGGTCTAGCTTTAGCAGCTGTGGACTTTGGGGACAAGTAGGTCATGGATTAAACCACAGCAATCACTTGGTAAACCCAGCATCTGCAGCCTATAGGAATGGACA